GAACACATTAAAAATCTGACTGGAAGATAGGCTAGAATGGTCTGAAACGGGTAATGAGAGTGAACTGAAATTTGTATTAGTGACAAGTAAGAGGCTCAGAAGATTTGGAACTAGGAGAAAAGGCAAAAATTGAAGGTAATTAAAAAAAAAGAAATTAAGCTGCACAACTGCAAACTGAATTGAATTCACCAACCTTATACCATGCACAGAATCCTTGAAGAAGTGGAAGGTGATAATACCGTAGCTATGTCCGAGTAGGTGTCCTTAGCTTTCGTTATGGGTGGGAGGGGGCTACCTTGGGTTAAAACCTAATACATTTTGTCAATGATTAAGGTGTATCCTCACTCAGTAAACTCATCTTGTAATGAAGCAAGAAAGACGCCGAATGTTTAAATCGAAGCATATCAGAACTAAGGTTGTTCCACGGACCTTGAACCCTCGCGAGGAAAGAATTCCTGTAGGATTCAGTGTGTGGATTTTCGAGCTGCAACTTGTACGGATGGCCTCTTGTGATACCCACAAAGGGGGAGATTCTGAAGAGATCTGTTAGCTGCAGATCAACTTCACCCGTGGTCATTTTATACAGAAAAACAAGGTCTGCAACTTTTCTACGCAATTCTAGTGACTGAGCATTCAATTTCTTCAGGCGCATTTGGTATGAAACTCTAATTAGGCCTCTCCTGACGAAACATCTTCGAGTGAACTCTTCTTTGCACATTTCGATTTCTCGCACCAAATAAACATGGGAGGGGGACCAAAGCTGAGGACAGTATTCCATCAGAGGTCTCACGTATATGGTAAACAACTTGAAAAGGAGAAGGGGGTCCCGTGATTTAAACGCTTTGAGTATGAAATTCGCTCTTCTCTTGGCTTTCAGGACAATAGAATGGATATATGAACTGTAATCGAAAGCGGCAGTGTATGTGATACCCAGATCCCGAATAGCTTCTGGGCAGGCGAGTCTGCGACCATTTAGGTCAAAATCTACCGTTGGATGATTTTTTCCAAAGCCCAGAACAAACGTTTTCTCAGACGAAATCTCTAGCTCCCACATTTGAGACCAGGCAGATACAGCATCCAGAGCTTTCTGCAGTTAGGTTACAGTTGCTTTAAAACAAACTGAGCAATTATCTTGAAGTCGTCCGCGTACAAGGAGCATTGCACTCCTACGGGCAAACACTTTGACAGGTCGTCCACAAAGATTAAAAACATCAGAGGACCAAGCATGATCCCTTGGAGGAACACCACTGGTTGTCGGATAGATACGAGATTCAGCCTCATTGATTCTTACTACCTGAGAACGCCCCGTGAGAAAGGACTGAGAAACTTGTATAGGCACCCATGGATGCCGTAACCTTGAATTTTGCTCAGTAAGAGAGGGATGGAAATCGAGTCAAAAGCTTTTCTGAAGTCAATATAACACGCGGTAACATAGTTTCCCTGATCCACCTCTCTATGCCATAAGGGGACAGTCGATAGAAGGGCAGAAGTTGTAGACCTCCTGCTGACGAAACCATGCTGAGCGTTGGCCAACAGTTGATTGCTCCGTAAGAAGTCAATCATTGCCTTGCAAATAATGCGTTCCAATACCTTACATGTAGAACTGGTAAGACATATAGGGCGGTAATTAGCCACATCAGTTTTGGCTCCCTTTTTATGTATAGGACGTACTATCCCGATCTTCCATGCTGCAGGCACCGTCCCGTGGAGGAGGAACTTATTGAAGAGTATAACTAGTGGGGCTGTGAGACCGAGAGCTGCCTTCTTAAGGAATATGTAAGGAATATTATCAGGTGATGTTGAATTTCTTGCAGGAAGGCGGCGCAGAGCACGGTACACAGAATCACTGGAAATATCTATCCAATCTAGCCTCTGTTGCGTTAAGGAGGGGTAGTAAACACCGTCTTTTGTAGGTTGCTTATAGACCGATTCAAAGTAGTCAGCGAATAAGTTTGCTTTTTCTTTGTCATTTCTGATAATAGAGGAACCGTTCACCAGGGAGGGTATGCCCTCCACAATTTTCAGTCTCTCATTACAAAACTGGAAGAAACGCTTGTGGTTATAAGAAGTCGCTACTTGTTTTTCCTCCTGTAAAGCAAATAGTGCAAGTTCCAGCAAAATAGGTGCAAGTTCCAGCAAATTAGTGCCAAGTCCAGTGCCACTTGTAAGTTCTGTCCGCCTCGCTCAGGTTTTGCGCCAAATCGCGTAAATCGCTTGAATCGCGCGAAACTTGCGACGGATCGCGGACTCTGACACCATTCACACAGCTCTTCATCTAATGGCTCTGAAAAATGTTTGAGTGTTTCCAAGAGTGTAAGCGTTTCAGTCGTGAAAGCGCTTAACCTTGAATACCCTGGAGTCCGCTCTTCAAGGGTGGTCGCGCCATCGAAAGAGCGTTAGAGCTGCATGATTGTGATATGAGACTGGATGAGTGGAGTCATGATTACACTTCAGAATGAGCGCTCTGCGGAAGGAAGCCTTTTATGGATGACTTTCCCAGTCGTAGAACTTCAAAAGGAAGACTTCAGTTCAGTGGATACTCGATAGTGGTTTTTGAAAAAGAGGAATAGAAATCTGATCTGATAAAACATCACTTAAAACGAGCATATAACATGACTTTGCTTACCCAATTTGTCAGGTTCATAGACTGGTTTTCAAGTTAGTAGTTTCTCATGTAGTTAGGTGTGAGGGTGTATTCTGGTTTGAGTGATTTCGAGATTCCATAACCGTAACCGTAGATTCTGTATTTTCATAATAGCATTGATAATCTGATTTTGTTTTGTTTCAGGGTTATTTCTGAAGGACGTTTCTCCTAGCGAGTCTGATTATATCAATGCCAGTTATATAAAGGTAGAATATTGTTTCTGTAGCGACACAATTCACTTCAAGTATTTTTTGCTTTCTTCGTTCTTCCGTATAGTTAATTTGTGAAAATGGTGTTTGGAACTCAACTGGATCTACTTACATTTATTAAAGGTGAGTGTCAATATTGATTCGCTTTCAGATACCAAAAGGACCACCGCTTCATCTTTACGCTAATCGAGAGTATATTTCCACGCAAGGTTGTCTTCCGAATACTCTTCTTGACTTTTGGCGAATGGTATGGCAGGAAAATAGTCGCGTGATAGTGATGACTACAAAGGAAATGGAGCGATCACGGGTTGGCATTATTTTTGTAGGAGGTTAATAGGATTTCGAGGACTTTTTTGCAGAGCAAATGTCACGTTTATTGGCCGGCATTACGCGAAGAGCTTAATCTTCGTGAATACGTGATCAAGACTGTTGAGGAGACGAAAGTACCGGGCGACAACGGACTAGATATGTTCATTAAGCGGCGTTTCATGGTAGCTAAAAAAGGTGCGCCGACTGCAATTTGCTTTTTTTATTTCGTTGTCGTTTGCATAAGTGCTCAGCCAAGCGTGCAAATTCCTATTATAGAGACTGCAAATGTGGTCTCACTGGTCGATTGAAGTGCACATGTTTTTGTGGGTCATGCAAGTCCTAGCAATCCTCATGCAAGGGCGATTATTAAAGCTCCTCCTTCGAATGAATTCCTCTGTTTTTTTTCCATGGTTTTTTTTAGCAACTCCCATAGAAGTTGTAGTGGTTGTTCCTGCCGTCCTTTGTAGATCTACTAGTCCCTATTTTCTAGATGGAAGCTATTCCTTTAAAATTATTCGAGTAATAGCCCACGGCAATTAGTCAGCAGAGTGTGGGGAATATGCACTAGAGCATTCTTCTAAGTAAAGGATAGATAAGGAAGGTGCGGAGACTAGTGGTCGACCGTTCGGAGTAGTTCATTTGTAAATGCAAGGAAGATTTTTGTGCATTCGCGAATGAACACTTTCGAACAGCTTTCAATTTCCTAGGCAATCATAAACTATTTTCATGAAGCGCCTTCTATTTCGGAAAACGAAAAGAACGTCGAGTGCAGACCACATACCACAGGTGACGGCGGTTAAGAAAAAAGTGGCTTTTTCTTTTTTTTCGTGGCCGCCGTAGGTTGTGGTGTGGTCTACACCTCGTTTTCCGGAATAAAGGGTAGATATATCGGCGTTAACTAGCGAATGCTGAGTTGGTAGGTGATGATATCCAAGCGTGCGTCATGCTCTGGATCTCATAGTAGAAATGTGGGAGGAATCAAAAAAAAGTTACACGGTGAACAGTAAAGACCAATTCCATGCTGGTTCCCCAGGTGCTCTGGTCCCATCCAGGTCGTGCTCTTCTTCGTTTACTAATATTGTTAAGTCTGTTTGTCTTGAATGTCATCCCCAGCTATGCTATTACTAATTCATACGTACAACCCGCGTAGATCGAACGTAGTGATTCCTTCGTTCTAGGTATGCCTCAGCGAGAACTATTTCATCTGCAGTTCATCGGTTGGCCTGATCACGGATGTCCAGAACATCCGGAATCTGTGTTACGTTTCCTGGATGCTGTGGATGTGGCTTGCAAGAAGGCCATCTCGACGCAGGGTCCTGTAATTGTGCACTGCAGGTTCGACAATTACTTTTTTAAGATGTTATTAAGGTTACCTTTAAAACGTAGTTAATTCTGCTAACATTTCAGTGCAGGCATTGGACGAACGGGGACGTTTATAGTGATAGACATTCTCCTCAATCAAATTCGGCACAGAGGTATGGTGTAATTTTGTAAAAATGTAATGATGTATCTTTATAGTATAAGCAGTAGTTGTTTAGGAAGTTCTTGTCCCATTGATATACCACGCACGGTGATGAAAATTCGCGAACAGCGCAGCCGTATGGTTCAAACGGAAGCGCAATATGTCTTTCTGTACAGAGCAATTAGTTGCTATATAGCTATGCAAAGTCGGGTACGCTTTTACCCTTTTGAGTTCAGGAGAGCATTTCACAAAAAATGTCAAGGGCTGTTTGCAGTCTCGACATCCTTCCGATGAGACGGGTACCGGTGAAGGAGGGCATCCGCTACATCTTCCACCACCCCCAGTTCCGCGACGACGAGCGGTACCTGAGGTCGCTCAGGCATATGTGAATAACGGATAGTACAAAAATACGGTATGTGCTTTTGTTTTTTCTTTTTACTTGCATATTGCATAAAATATTTTCGTTTTATACGTTTTGTATAATAATACGTACGTAATAACTTCGGTAAAAAGTCACGTCTCGCTGATCATCTTTCTTCTCGAGTGGGCAACGGACAGCGTACCGTTTGCGCTGTGACCTTCTATCTATCTTCCATCTCAAATCTTCAATCTCCTCTATCTTCAATCTCCTCATCTGAAGGACACGATGCGTCCCTTTCCACACCTATGGAGAAGTTTTACTATTGGCTGATAGAGGTATCACAATGATAATGATGAATGACCTGATTCGGCTCAAGGATTGCCAATTGGAGACTGCTACTTCTTATAAAGCTGCAGTCTGCCTCCTGATGTGACTTCTGATCCTTTCAAGCTCTCTCACTACTTGCATCTTACTCTGGCGGTGCTGCATACAGAACATAATGAATAGAGATGACCTTTGGTCACCGTAAATTTTGTATTAGTACGCCAGGTTCTTACGTAAGTACGTTATCGTTATGGGGCAATTCTATGGTTCTGAATGTATATTACTTTTATTCACTATTGTTACTAGTGTGTACCGTTATTTGTATCATATTTAGGCGGCGCAGCGGTTTGGTATTGGAGTGAACTGCCTGTTCTTGTTCATGGTCAAAGGCTGCTCCATGTTATTAATATGCATCTAATGTTAAGGAATTTTCAGGATAAAAATCGTCTGCGTCATTTCACTGACTCATGGAATTTATGCGGTGTAAAAATCGTTTGTGCTAGTGTTTGTTTAGTTAATTTACACTTTGTAAACATTTTATTTTTTTATTACTGATGGCAGTTGCATTTCGATACTGAGCTGTATCTGTCATGAGTTAATAGGTTGTGATTCACTGCATCTGTTTGAAGTTTCATGGATACAACCAGAAATTCAAGTAAGAGTTGAGCGTACCCATTTGTAGTTTTATCACATTCTGAAGGTAAATTCCGCAATAGCAGAGAAGGTGTAATTTGCTCCAAATATGAAGCAGTAGCTATTGGTCAATCAGTGAAGAAAAAATGTAGAAAAACGCTGGAAGCTTTTAAATGAGGGTTTTTTTCTGTGAGGACGACATTAGCAAAGAGATAGTCTGTGATACAATAGAGGTCGGGTGAAAGAACAGACTTGGAAACGAGAGAGCATATGGGACGAGCAAGACGCAGACGTCGCAGAAGTGGGCGTGCTTTGGTGCATGGCCTGTACCCGACAGGAGGCCCGTCGCGCGGCAAGAAGGCAGAGTCAGCGGACGAGTCGCAGCGCTGTAGTGATTTCGCGTCAAGTTAAATAGAATGTACCATTGTACGTCCTACATCGCACAGCACGCGCTGCGACTCGTCCGCTGACTCTGCCTTCTTGCCGCGCGACGGGCCTCCTGTCGGGTACCCGGTGCATGGCCTGCATTGAGCCGGCTTTGAAATCCCTAGCATTCAAGCCACGTGCTTTGAGTCGCAAAAATGGCACTACTATTTCTCATTACCCTCAATCGCGAGGTTTTTTTCTGACGATTGCTCGCGGAATGTGCCTTCAGTGAGCTTTGCATTGGTGTAGATTTCATTGCATAACTCATAGATTTCTTCTTGGTCATATGTATGATGTCTTTTATTCGTATCGCATTACACTGCTGTAATATGCTATAATTACCGGTTAAGTAATGTCGAGTGTTGATTGATCTTGATTGTGATGAGTTGCCACTAATTTTTGTTTTTTTTCAACGTAAAAGAAGCTATCTGTAGTTACTTCTAAGCGTCAAGTAGTTTGATTAGTTAGTTGTTATTTACTCAAACTGGTTTTTTCCACTTATATATAGGTCGTTTTTCTCCTTGAAGCCATATCAACGTCATGAAAAAAACCAATCGCATAGTATGTGTTATGTAATTTGGTGAGCTAGTCCCAGTCTACATTGTTACTATATATTCTTTGTTACCATATTTAGTTGCTGTACTACGGTATTTCCATTAAAATTAGCGTTCGCGTGAAGTTGTAAGAAGAACAAGATACATTTGTGCAGTCTCCATAAATACAGCACTTATGCCTCATAGGAGCCGGATTTAGAAATAATCTTTATTGATGGGTAAGGTCAGCGCGCTGAACCCAACCACGGTTAAGTCTGTTGGTAACTTACCACCACGGGTTGTGTATGGTCCACGGTAGGGGGTCCTAAGTGCATGGGGCAGGAACTGGGCGCGCGGCAGCATTCTCCTAATAGAATTGTGAGGGTGGGAGATATCACTACGTAGATCCCTATTGGTGCGAAAACAAAGGCCTGTGCAAAGTTCCGATACTTTTTCGTTTTGAGCCTCTTGAGAACGCGCTATTTTAGGGCGCATACATAGTCGGTCGTCCGTATCGATCGTTATTCTGGCAAGCCTAACGATCAATACGCATCTAATGCTGTGCCAACAGTTACGATCGTGCTGTCGCACGACCGACTATGCATGCACCCTTATGCATATTGGTCATCCCTAGCCAGATGACGAGCGATTTGAATGTATAACGGGCGCTCATCCAGTAAGGGGGGGCATCAAGTGGCTGCCCTCACCCCCACCCCCTAGACTGCCTACACTCCCCCTGGCGCACAGGTTTCTCGAAGTACGGGACCCCGTGAGCCAGGGGGAGTGAAGCCAGTTCAGGGGGGTGGGGGTGAGGGCAGCTATTAGACGTTGCATCACAATGCCCCCCCCCTTACCGGATGAGCGCCGTATAACGTTATAATGTACAATTCGTAGGCCTGAGGACGTCTATCAGGCGTAAACGAAAAAAGACGTTCAACTGATTTCTCCGACCAAACTGCACTGCAACGAAATGCAATGATAAGAAGAAGTCGGCCTCTCGATGCTTGAAAGAATTTTGAGAGAAGATCTACACAATGGAAACTGCTAAGTGCGTTGAAAATAAACCCCAGTAATGGTCAGAAAACGCAAATGCCGTAGTTTCCTCTGTGTCCCACCAATTTCAAAAGAACAATTCTAAAGAAAACTACACCGTCGAATTACCAGAAAAGGCGTATTTCAAAGAAAAACGTGCACGAAAATCGTGAATCAAAAGAATTGCCACACAGCGATTTGTCGATTCTAATATTTTTGGTATGTCCTCAGTTAGTAAGGGCATCATTAATTGGCAGTTTTCCAGAAATGTCTTTGTGGTATACTCGATTGCACAGGGGGAGTGAGCCTAGTTTCCAAGGTATGGCCTGTATTCTTACGAAAGCAAATTTGGAAATCATTATGATTTCGGTGAAGGTTGAAAGCCAGCATGTGCATGAATGATTTACCAACTGCACAATTTTTCAAAGGAACGACTTTAGTATCTATTAAAAAGCAAACTTTTGATCTCCTGGATCTTTTCAAGTTCGTAGTGCAAGACCACAGGCAAAGAAAATTGCGGCACCTCAAACAGAAAACTGAATTGTGGTTTTTTTCTCCAAAGATCTCATTGGATAGTAAGTTTTCAGAATTCAAGGCAATTATAATGTAAGAACGGGAGAAAAAAAAAACGTCGTAGATTTCAAATATATTTTTTCAAGGCAGCATATTCATGCTCCCGTCCCTTGCCGTTTCAAAGAAAAGTAGCGCGTCAATCGCCCATCGTGCGAGATAACCATGACCGTCGTTATCACTTCGTACTACTTTATTTCTGCACAGTCCGCTTCATTTCAACTCAATAGGGGGGAGGGGGTCGTGCGGGCAGCCTTTCCAAGCGGGAGGGTCGTGCAAACCCGAGTATATACCAAGAAAGCGTTTGAACCCGATCGATACACTTATCGCCATCACCCTTCATAGCGCTCAGAGACGCTATGAGTTGGTAGAAAGCCTGTGTAGGATGTGGCAGCCGGAATCTATTGTAAGCTGTATAAGCGCAATTCTCGGTGCTAAAAGCTCGCGAATGTATTCATTGTTCAACACAGGCAACAGACGACAGGCTTACGCGCATGCGCGTCAGAATTTGGCACCGCATCGGACATTCTGACGCGCATGCGCGTCAAGAACTATGTATTCATTTTTATCGTGCTTGCGCTCCTTCTTCTCGGGTTTCTTGTATTCATTCTATAGATAATACATTAGCATAACTATAAACCACATGGCAGCCAGAGTGGTCAAATATCCTTGATTAGCAAAGATTTTCTGAAACTTACAATTTTCGGTTCAATTCTTCCCTAATTTTCCTTTCATTGTATTGTCGTGAACATATGAAAGATTGCAGAAGAAGTTAGTTACGAAACATCTCTAGTTCAAGTATTGTATTTAATGCGAGAAACTGACGATATTAGATGCCCTTTCATATGTCTGTCGCACTAGAGGTGGAGTTTTTTGCTTCTTCATGGTCATTATGCGTCCTTCTAAACAAAATCCTCCTGCTATTTATATGGGCAACCTCCACTATTTCATCCTTGCCGAAATAATCCTATGAGATTCAAGTTTTGACATTTTAAACAGAAAATAAGCGGAAGTAAGGTGAGAACGGCGCGCTCGCAAAATCGCTCCTGTCCCACGCGGTGCAAAATGCCAAAACACGCGATGTCGTCAACGTGTTAAAGCGTCGCCCTATCGAATTTGTGGGTCCAAGCAGTTAGGAGTGAGGTTGTGGATGCCAAATTGACCAAAAATGAAAGCAAAGAAAACTGTCGATGAAGCCAAAAAGCGATAACTACTTGAGAAAGAAAGGGCGGGGCCGGAGAGTTGTACAGTTGACGCGAGCCGTATTCAAACCTTCCCTCAGGAAGACATGTGACTGTCTGGCCGGACGCATAGTCGGTCGGACGACAGCAACGATCGCAAGTGTCGCACAGCATTGGGTGCGTATCGATCTGCGACACATGCGACACTTACGACCGCTGCTGTCGGACGACAGCAACGATCGTAAGTGTCGCAGATCAATACGCAGCTACTATTCCACACTACAGTGGGACTTTCGAAATACGATCACGCGCAGTCACGTGTTGTCTGGGTTAGCATTGGGTGACCGCGTCGCCTTCCATTTGCAACCGCGGTTTATGCGACACTTGCGGTCGTTGCTGTCGTCCGACAGCAACGTCGTTGCTGTCGTCCGACCGACTATGCGTCCGGCCTTCTGATTTCAGATCATGGGGGAGACAAAAAGGGTTGCGTCATAGGACCGCCATACCTCTGTGTTTCTATCTGCCAGACAGTTAGAGCAGTGCGACTACCCTCCACTCTTGAAGCACTCTTTTCTGAGGGGTCGCGCTGCGATGGTTCAACTTTGCGTTGGAGCGATTTTGCACCAATTGCAGTAGCGACGGATCGCTTGAGCGATGCGAGCGACGGGAGATTTACGAACTGATGGCGCCGAATTATCGTTGGTCGGCGGTGTAAATCTCCCGTCGCTCGCATCGCTCAAGCGATCCGTCGCTCCTGCAATTGGTGCAAAATCGCTCCAATCGCAAAGTCTGACATCGGCCACTGCTCTGTCTGGCAGATAGAAACACAGAAGGTATGGCGGTCCTATGGCGTACCTTTTTTTGTCACCTTCAAGGGTTGAATTTGAGAAGGGGGACACATCCTTCTGGGAGAGGGATCGAATACGGCCCCGTATTTCGAAGTCTGATTGGGGCGCGTCACCGAAGTGGCAACCACCGCACTTGATAGGAAGTTGCGCGGATAAGCTGCTTCCAGCATGCTTTGCTTATATCTGGCAGAGTATTTCATTCTTATCACACGTCGTATCACCTTGCTTGTCATAGGATGTGCACGAGGTATCTCGTCCGTAGGTTCACATTGTTCGCAACCACATCAATTTGTAAGGCCCTAGTGCCATTGTCGCGCACTATGGAGCCGACACGGCATATCTGCTGTGCTATTTATGGGCTACTCTATCCCTATCGGTCGGGAAGTCACTTTCTGCGAGCCAGCTTCTCCGGGTGTTGCTTCAAGCAAACAACAGTCAGCAGGGTTTTCTACCTTCGACAACTTAAATGCGTATGGAACTGCGCTAACCCTGGTCGAGAAAAGTGTGACTGAACAAAAACTCACCTTGGAAAACCGATCGAAAGGGAGCTGAACGGCTTCGAAGTGGGCAGTGGTTAACAATCGGCTGCAATCCTCTCGGCCGATTGATAACCACGCCCACTTCGAAGCTGTTCAGCTCCCTTTCTAGCGGCTTTCCAAGGTGAGTTTTTTGTTCAGTCACACTTTTTATGTTCTTGACTAGGGCTAGCGCATCGTTCCACACCATTAGTGTCGAAGGTAAAAACCCTGCTGGGACTGTTGCTTTCAATGATTACTGATGAACATATCTCGTGGTCGATATGAGGAAGCGTGCAAAATGCCCATCGGACGTCCACAACAAAAGCGGCCTTTCTCCGCGGCCAGTATTCATGTAGACGTTCGCAGAACATTTACTTATCGCAACTTTTTACAGCACATTTAAAGGAAGCGATTACGATAAGGAATTGCCTCCAGCAGCGTTACGCCCACTTGTTCAGGTGATGACTTGGGCGAGCTGTCTGCTGTTGGCTTTTCATTTTGGGAGATCGTTTCCCTTTTACCGGTCGTATCTTCCAACTTGCCCATGTAATGCCCTATGCCTGTTCAAATGGGGCACTTGCAATTTTGCGATCCGTCGCGGGTTTCGCGAAAATCGCGGAAACCGCCCAAATCGCGCAATCGCGAAAATCAGCGAACCTTGCGACGGATCGCGGACTCTGACACCAGCCTAAGAGGTTTAGAAGGTCACTCGAGGTCGTAAGTAACTTTCATCTTCTCCGAAGTTGGTTCCTTTCTCTAGGCTTATTGTTAGTCCCAGGGTCTTTTTTACAGATTACCTTCCCTCCCTCCCCCCCAAGCCATGTTACGCCAAGTACTGAAACGCGAACCCCATTAGCACTATTTCAAAGTAGTTTTCATCAGCATAAACTTCTAATTATGAGGATGGTTGGTAGGAAGACATTGAACGGAGACCTGCATATTTCAGCGAGACACCTGCCGACCTATCTTCGCGAAGATCCCGAAATACGCTCAACACTCTCCTTGAACCTCTCCAGAATTAACGCGCTTCATTTGGTATCAAAATGCAAATATAAGAAAATCACGTACAAGGAAAAAAAAGCAAAAAAAAGCAGGAAATGGCGTCAATTTGTGATGGTAACTGCAACTGCGGACGTTGGCGCGATATTTAAAAGTTTTTGAAATTCGTGTAACTCCAAGGGCTACCATTAGCTGGCTAGGTTTCCTTTTCTTTTGAGTGGGACTTACTCTTTTTTCAGCTTTAAACGGTGATTGCCATGTTGAAAATGCTGTGGAAGCCTGTGTGATTGAATTTCAGATTTTTTTTTTGTTTTGGGTCATTGTTCCCCCTTAGTCGTTCTCTTTTCGCACTCTTCAGATTTTTTCTAGTGCTAGTGTATTGTTTCATTTGGAATGTATGAAGATCAATCGTCAAATCCACAAAAGCAATTTAACGAACATGTATTAAAACCAATAATTGCGTCATGATTCACGTTTTTCCAAAACCATGATTTGGCACATATGCTTTTTGCTTTTCTTCAGTTTAATATTAAAGGAATTTTAAATGAAATTTTATCTGGTTGGGTCAAGTTGTGCATTACGGACATTTGAGGTTTTGTAATGAGTCACTTGTAAATGTTATTTATAGTCTGTTCACAACTTTCGAAAGCCTTGAACTATGGATTGGTTCCGACAGATGACATTTGGATTACTCTATCGTTTTGTAAAGAACTTCGCTATCGGAACATTGATTCATCGGGCACCAAAGAAGTGCTTACCTATCTCATGTTGATTTAATATTCCCTAGCTCATCAAAGAGCAGTCGCTTCGAGAGTTGCTGTTACTTGATTGGTCATTTATTTTTGTGGGACGCTGTTGGTTCAACTTTTTCCACTCCATCATAACTTGCGTTGAAAAATCATTTTCATCTTGTTGTGGGGATGCTCTATTCATTTTTGAGTTCGGTACCTTTTTGCATTGTCTTCCTCCCATTTTCACTGTCACGAACATGATGTTATTACCACGTGTTTGTTCCTATTTCACAATTGGTCATTGGTTTAAGGCTTGTGAGCTACGCTAGCACTGGTCGATGCATGCTTCGCGCTATTTCCGTGGTCCATCACTGTTATTTTGCAGATATGCCACCGAAACGTGTGGCTAAGGCCAAATTACATCAATTGGCTGTGGAACTACCATTCAAAACAATCATCTCAGACTTGAGCACGAAGAAGCAGTACTGTGTCGGGCGACAGTTCGCCACTGGTGGATTTGGTCGCATCTACACGTGTAATGAGGTGGGAATCCTTTTTCGCTTCAGAAATTTATTCAAATGGAGGCTCTCTCAAGGGCGCATATTGTGAACCCGTGACAGAATCCACCAGTTCAATTTGTAATGGATCGAACACATTCATTTGTTACAACCATGTGAATTTGTGTGATTGGTTATAAATGTGGTGTTTTCCAATCGCGCATGTATCGGGCAATTTTTCAATTTCACCAAGCCCAGTCAAGCGGTATTCACTCAACTGCTGATTTGTTGTGTCGCATATTGCAAGCACTGATCGTAGCAAAATGCATTATGACAAGCCAAGATGGAATGGAGCATATCCAACAGTGTTTTCTCCTTATTGAAACCTAATTTTTGCGGTGTTGAGCTAATCGTTTGTAAAAGGTATTCAAATTATTTGACAAACTGATGTTTCCTAAAGAAGATAAAATTTGAGGAACATTTGTTCATGTTCAATGTCGGTATTTTCGGACAAGAAGCTGAATGTGAAGATTTAAAAGCTCTTAACTAATGTTCTATTATAGGTTGGGTCCAAAACGGAGCTCGTCGTCAAAGTTGAGCCATACGGTAATGGACCACTGTTCACCGAGTTGAATGTTTTCGTACGGATATTCAAACCGGATCAGATTGCGCAGTTCATGCGCGAAAGAAGTGAGTCCTTATCCAGTTAATCTTATTCATCAACTGTTCTCCTTCTGCTCTTAGTTTCTAAGGTAAGTATCAGGCTTAGCACCATGGTGCGATTCGCTAGCAACCCGCTAGCGATTTGAGCGATCCACTAGCGATTCATTCCGTTAGTGTCCGATGTTGAAGAGCGCGTTACTGTCTGATGTCCAAGGAGTCTGTGAGTATACGGGCTTCTTGGGAACACTCACTGGCATCTTCAGGATATCAGACGTTGGAAATCACTCGAAGCGGATCAGTATAAATAGTTGATCAATATGAGTTTACCTATAATATTTTATAGTGTCAGCATCCCACGCAGTTGTTTTGCTTAGTTTTGCTAATCGAACCGTTTATCCACCGTGGTATCGTAATGTGTTGTTGTGTGAGTAAGGGCGCATGCATAGTCGGTCGTCCGACGCAACGATCGTAACTATCGCACAACATTGGATGCATATCGATTGTCAGACTTGCCTGAGTATTCGACGATCGACGCGTATCTAAGCTGTGTAACCGTTACGATCGTTGCTGTTGGATGACGCGACTATGCACCCGAAGGCTGGTGTCGGAGTCCGCGATCCGTCGCAGGTTTCGCTAATATTCGTGATTTGCGCGAAACCTGCAACGGATCGCAAAAATTGCAAGTGCCCCATTTGGACATTTAAAACACTAAATATGAAACAAGTGGAATCCTGGCCGCCGTCATTCAGCCAACGTTATCAAGTAGACGTGGCGGCGGGATTGAAGAACACCTTGCAGTATTGATCTGGCACTTGTGGTTTCCGTGACACGTCGCGTGAATAGCAAAAATGCGGCAACTCGCTAAAATCAGCGAAAGCTGCGACGGATCGCGAACTCCGACACCAGATCAATACAGTTCTCATAAATCAAATATAAAGCTGTAGCCTTCAGAACTGAAACGTTTGGGAGTTCCGAAGATGATTTCTGGTGGCATTCATCAGCACGGTGACGACAAGTTGAGATTTCTCGTTATACCGAAATACGCAACTTCACTGGAAACAATCCGTGAGAAACGAAAGACTTTCACGCAACATGAAGTGTGGACGATTGCACGCTGTATGATGGAAAGCCTTGAGTACATACATTCCAAGGTAATTTCAAAAATACTTAGTTGAAATCTTGACTTCTTCTTGATAATAGCCTCTAAGGATACTTTCGAGTTGTCGAGGAATTAGTGTTTGGCCTTTTCGTACTTCTATGCGTGTGTTAATAATTTTAGAAAAGATTGAAATCCGATATGGCTCCCTTTTTAATCTTTAGCGTGCCTATTTCAGAACTACACTCACGCTGACATAAAAGCTGGTAACATATTGCTGGAGAAAGCGGACGACTTCTCAACAAGTGGTAAGAATTTGCAGTTTTGATCGGTACAAGTATCCAACTAGAATTTGAATGCATTTATTTCTTTGTTTATTAATAGAAATTCAGCAGCATATTTATCTCGAGTCATTTCGGCATATATAAATTTCGAAGATAACTAATTCCAGTGTTAGCCGATTTTGGACTGGCCAGAATGTCGAGTAGTAACGAGGACAAGCCGGACAAAAAGAGAGGTAGGGTGCATTGTTATGATCTTCTGTGCAATTTACTGTTTTCTTTCCCATCCCGAGTCAGATTATTCAGTTGATCATAGGTAAGGAGGGTCCCATATGCACTAACGATTCATAATTTATTAGGTGTTTCAGAAAGTTCTGTCGTTTTCTGACACTCCACTTTTGGATGCTTTATTTCCCTTGAAATCTAGGAAAGCTGCAATTGATGTTGATGTATCATTTTGAAGAGCTTTTCCAGCTCTATCCAATGCTTAGCACAACTTTGTCCTAAAATATTTTCTTATAGCTTTTTCAAAGCTTTGAATGCGGTATACTCGATGAGCAAGTTGGCATGACTTTCTTTTTCTAGCTTTAAATAGACCTGAAAGTGGCGGGAACAGTTCAAGATATTAACGATGCTTTGGGCCTAGATTTGCAATAAATGTGCTCAGAAGCAGTAGTTAAAAAATTTATTGTAAGGAAGGCGAGAGCCTTGAATATGATGAGAGTAGTGGTCGGACATCGGACGGTGTCTCCGATTAGCCAAAAGTTCTGATTGAAGCACGTGCGTAAGACCATAGAGGAGGTTCTGCCCAACCTGGGCGTATATGGTTTGTACAGCCAAGCTATACGGAAGAAGCTGGAAAGTCCAAAAAATTTGATAGGGGCGTGCCGCGACAAATCACCAATTTGAAGGGTCGTCCATCAAATTGTCGCTGGTTTTATGTGGTGAAAGCGACTCGTTTCTCTACAGATTTGCGACGTACAATAAAGAGCGGATTCTTCTCTATAGTCTACGAAAGTTTGCTGAATAGATCGACGGCGATGAAGCTCTACAAACTTTGCAGAATTTAAACTGTGCTGGAGGAGGGTTGTGGCAGCTTTCATGGGGTCAGCGGCTGGCCATGTTCTTCAGTATCAGATGGAACTGTTACAGTGGAGAATCAATCTTTATACTAAGTCAAAAATCATCAAAAACTCTAGGCATGGGTCCAGCATTCCTCATTATAAAGGAACGCACACATCCCTGAAAGGTGTCTTGAACGCACATCGCACGGCCAACCCTTCACAAGTTGTACCAGCTAAACTTCAGAGTGGTTCTGCGAACATCTTACTTAGTAGACCTTTGATCTATCTACTGTCAAATTTCTGACGATCTCGATAGCTTCCTTGAAGAGAAATACATCAAAAACCAACATGATGCTAAAACGACCTTCCCTCAGTTCATCGCCTCCAGAGGTCCAGCATTCCAAATAAACGTACCCTGTTGAACGGTTTCTTATAGAACAAGATTCGCGCTTTCAAATGGTTTTTTAATCAACTCGAAAGGTTTAGCCCAAGCCGAGATACGTGCATTTAAAATTAGGGGTTGGAAAACGACAGAACTTTCTGAAACACCTAATAATGCACATGCAAACCATTCGGCTTGCTCGTGTAGTGCGTACACTGCTTACTGATTATTCTCTGCGGGAATCTTTTTCTTTTTTTAAATTATTCTCTAATCCAGCGCATAATGGTACTGCCATCTTCACCTCATGCGATGCCCACAGAGGATGTCAACCATCGTATCGAGGAGATCTGGAAATACTTGCATATAACATGTTATACTGGTTGAGCGGTTCTCTACCATGGGAGGTGAGTGAGGAGTAGTTTTAGGACAAAATGTGTGCGAGACAATGTTTCGTCTAGGCTTACGAATCGAATCCCGATAAAGTTTATCAAATGAAGGAAGCTTTTCTCAAAGGACTACCGTCAATTCTGAAGCAGCTGTTGAAGGTACGAGTTCTGAGTCGCTCACTAACTTTCGGTTGTTGTAGTGACCGTGCTACGAAGGAAGTCGAAATTACAGATAATTTGATTTTTGAATTCGTAAAGTAAAGTGCTTTTGCAGAATAACCAAGACAGTGTCGCTCCACTAAACGAGGTTTTTCGCTATTGCACAGAAAACAGGTTATGTGGACCAGCTTGACTTCACCAAGCTTTACCAAGGTAAGCTTATGGAATTTGTTCCGGGAGTGAAGGAGATTTTCGAAACATGCATATCAAATGAAAACACTTTTGGCTGTTCGATATCTGTTTGGATTAATAAGCTGGCGAAATCGATGTTCTGTCACGAGTTTAATGCTTACTGCGCGACTTTGACTCATTAGGCTTGATGAGGACTTGGTCGCTGTAGATCTTCTAGATCTCCTCACATTCGTAAAGTTCGTGCGCTTCCAGTAGGATAATCATTAAGTATAAAAATTAATCCTAACGTCACATACTCTTTTTGCTGAAGCTGTTCTTTCGGTGCCTGGTAGTTCCAGTCGATGAGCCTTTGCTGTATGGTTGTCGTCCCCCGCTGGACTGTCATGAATAGTTTTCACAAGCGTCTTCATCACTTATGTCCACTTTCTTACCTCAGAAATTGCTTCGGGTAATAGAAAAAAGCAGGTTTTCGCTCGTCGATCAACCTCGTCTCAAGATGCGCCATGAATTCATTCTCCGTTTGGAATTGGAGTGAATTTTGACTGCGCATGGGCTGAATTTAGCTGCTGGTGTATAGGCGCTTTAGAAAATGCAGTTGTTTTTTTATTTTTTCTTGGAGATCAAATGAACACTCTTTTTTTGAATTTTCAGATAGCCGATGATGTGCTGAAGCGCGCAGCACCGTCTCGTCAAGGCAAGCGTAAAACTCCGGATGAAACTGCTGAGGTGAAAAAGCCAACACCAGCGAAGCGCAATAAAATTGGTTCGTTTTTCTTGATAAATGGCTCATTTTTCAAGAAAGTTATGATTTTTACTAAGTACAGAAACAAAGCAAGACATTGATGGTGAAGAAAACTCGGAAATAGAAGGTACAGTTCTTGAAAAGCCTTCGTTTGTACGTTTCATGCGTGATGATTCCCTATTTAGCATCCTCGCCACGCTACGGCACTCAGCGAGACAGGGTTCGCAACACACCTAAGGATTCACCAGTTAGACATGTTAGGTTGAGAGGTGAGTCAAACATTTTCGCACGTTCCGTTTTGCTGAGAAAACTTTGGATCAAAACGAGTGCGCTTGATACGTCACAGGATTCTCATTTGCCTCTTCGTGATTCCTACCAATCAATTAAGTTTGAAAAAGTCAGCATGTTTCCTGCTCCCCTCTATTGATATGTTAGCCAAAAAAGAGGCTTATATGCTTTCATTAGCTTCTAAGTTCTTGTAAATGTAAATCTTGAGGCTCTCTGGCCGATACTGATATCCATTCATTTCAGCAGCCGTCAACAATCTCTTCTAACATAGCCTTCCTCAATTCTCGATTACCTGACCACTAACACCGCATGCCACTATGTGTTCCTCTTCCAAATGTGCTATTATTTCCTAATTTGTATCCATAGACCAGCTTCCATTGTATTCCTGGCTAGAACTCCCACCCGCCACATGGCCCTAGGAGGAGTTGGCGGACCTACTAAGTTGGTATCCGGAGTCGTCCTGCGCCAGCGGCTTGCAAATCTTGGCCGGCCATTCCCCCCCCCCCCCACCAATACTTCAGGATCTGTAGCTGCCACACCATTTTTGATTCCTTCAAGTTCTATCCTAATCATATCCTTATTTGCCTCGATTATTTATTCCTGTCATATGCCTATTGTGAATGCTAATTTATTCATATTTTTATCTGTCAACCCAACCTTATGCAATAACTATAAATAAAAAGTTCGTGTCGTTTTAGCAGCAGCGAAGCCTGACATCAGGGTTTTGGATCGGACGAGCTCTCCGAGGTAATACACAGAGAGTACTCTTACCAGGAAGGTCTTTCAGGGCGTGACAAGCTTTTTGAAAACGGTCTTTTGCATGATATAGGGGCAGATGCGGGAACCACAGAACCATGTTTAATTTTTCCTGAACGGCCCTCTGAATACCAGAAAAGGGGGTCCCTAGTTCGATTCCTCGTGGTGACAAATTTTTGCATTTCGAGTTGACGTTCCAAAATTCGCGCAAAATGGAGTTAGCATGAATAATTAGTACCATATCATGATTAGGACCGTCAGTAACCCTTACAAATAGACTTTGATTAAAAAACTGGTGAAAAAGGTGTGACACCACAGTGGGGCTGCTTGGTGTCACACCTCTTACACCAATTTTAAGTCAAAGTCTTTTTGTAAGGGGTTACTGACGGTCCTAATCATGAATATGGTACTAATTATTCATGCTAACTCCATTTTGCGCGAATTTTGGAACGTCAACTCGAAATGCAAAAATTTGTCACCACGAGGAATCGAACTAGGGACCCCTTTTCTGGTATTCAGAGGGCCGTTCAGGAAAAATTAAACATGGTTCTGTGGTTCCCGCATGTGCCCCTATATCATGCAAAAGACCGTTTTCAAAAAGCTTGTCACGCCCTGAAAGACCTTCCTGGTTAGCGTATTGTTCACCGGTAGTATAAGTAGCGATGTGACGAGTGCGGTTTCAGGGTACCAAGGTCGTTACCAAGCCCAGATACCTGCTCCTCTTCATCACCACCACAGCAATCACTCCGTAAGCGGGGATATTTGCATAATTTGATTGAGTGGATGAATGATCTATGTAGCAGAATGTTCATTTGGTTAATAAAAGGTGGGTAAGAGATGGCGAAACTGAATGAGAAATTCTAGCGAAGCGAGGTGTCTCATGAAATACTGCGCTATGATTACTTGTCCTCGTGTGGTTATGAATTAGGCCTCTCACGGCCTGCTTCATCCAAACACTTTCATAGCAAGCTTCATTGGTAACTCCATCCTTGCATGCTTATTTCGAGTTATTTGTTTAACAACTCAGTCAAAGCAAGCAGGCATTCTCGAGGCTGTCATTACGGCAACTAAGTGGAGGATGTAGCTCGCATCCAGCACTGTACACGCAGTTTCTTAACCGGAGTAACTGTACGAAATACGAAACATACGCAACTATTTTCGGGATCATTAGTGAGGACTTCGTTTCAAATTTTCAAATGGGGCGAAAGGGTGTACCGAAAGTTCATTTGGTACGATGCTCTCAGAAAGCAGTGAGCCCTCCCGGCAGCTCGATCTTGTGGTCAGGTCTTCGAGTGTTTTGCTTATATCGGTGTGTTTTCACATTGATGCTGAATTGTGATCGAATTGATTTTTTGGTTGGCCTGAAAGATTTTTTTGGAACACGGCAGAAGTGGTAGCTTTAGAAGCACAGTTGAAAGAGAGCTTGGGTGGCAAATGAACATTGTCCGCGAGTGAGAAAGCATTTGGAGAAGAAGTAGATTAGTGTGGCGTGGAAGAGGGAGAGTAATTTATGAAATCGCTGAAATGGTTTCCGTGCTTTTTTTCGGCTTCTGGTAATTTATTGTACTGTTCTATCGTACATCATAAGACTTAAATTTTAGAGAAACCAAGTCCATCGGCTCGTGTACGGGCGCATGCCAAACGTCTGCCTTCAACAATTAGCAGGAAGTCGCCGAGGTCAGTATTCAACATTTCTCAATAAATTCCCGCTATAATTTTTCTGGCAGGCTACATAACTTCATATTTTAGATTAGCAGCTGGAGGGATTGTGCCAGGGTTGTCAGTACGCCGTGCTCCATGTTCACCATTGAATGTGCAGTTGGCTTCTTCGGATAACAAGGGTTTGGGCTGTAGTACGCCTGTAAATGGGGCAGGGTCCTCAAGGCGTGAGTTATTATATTCTATAAGCTTTTATTTTCAAGAACTTTTCGCTTTCATGGATGAAAACTCTCTTGCTATAAACAATTCAGGAGTCATAAACGCCTTAAACGAGGTCTAATAGATTTTCTAGAGATTTTAACCAAGATTGACCACTCACGGTTAGAATGACGTCAATTAAATTCAATGTATTTGCTTGTCACTCATCAGTTTGATTCTTTGACTTGCTCATGCTCAGATGGCATGCTAACACCTCGTTTAGTGGGGAGATTACCTTAATTTCCGGAAGATAAGCCCGCGTCGACATCACGTAAAAACACCTCCACTGGTGCAGTGCACTTGCGTACATCTAGAGACAACCGCAACTTTCCTCCTTCCTGCGCCGTGTCTTCCCTTACCATCTGCACTCTGTCCGCTCTCCAAGCACATCAGGTCTGCCGTGTCAGAGCGTGGACCCTATCGTCGTAGCCCGCGACGGCCTTGATCGACACGTGTTTAGTTTCACCACCGCTGCCCTACGCCACGGCCGATTGGACTCGATCCCGAAGTTGGTCGAAGAGTGCCGGATCCGTCTCCACCTGTCGTCAACACGACCGTTGCCAGTAAGTCACCGTGTTCAGTAGCATAAGGAGTAATTAGATTTGCTGATTACGGAAACGACATTCATTTTGGCAGTGGCGCATTTTGAGGCGAATCTGCCGTAATTTTTGAGGTATACAAAATTGCACGAGCGAAGGTGTTTTCGATATCGGCATAGGCTTATCTACTGGAAATTAGGGTAATTGCAATAGCAGCAGGTTAAGCATCATGTCATAGCAACAAGTATCGATTGATCTACTGTAATAATTATAATAATCTTTTTTTCCGTATTCTGGATCGGCAGTCTGATTTTTAATTATGATGGTCATATACGCAAGGCGTTAAAGTGGACGGACAGAAAGGCAAACCAATAGACCGACCAACTTTCGTTCAGCTCACTATATTGACACACCAAGCTTGTGATTGCTGTGATAGAGGGGTCTTGTGCTTCCAGATGGCTGCGATACCATTAAGATGATCTCGTGAAGATAGCTGTTTTAGCTAGCCTGAGTACGAGCACGGTAGCTGTGGCCAGCCTCGTGTTGTGTTAGGCTATGGCAATGTCATGTTTTCAGAATCAGTGGAACGTGTCACATCGGACGTCAAACGAAGTCCAAACAAGCTTCGTAAAATACCGGGAATGCAGAACTTTGCTCGAGGTCGACGATCAATAGTTATTGATCAGGTACTTTTTCGAGTGAGACTTGCTTAGCCTATTGTCGCAACGCGTCGGCTTTTTTGCTCGTCTAAAAAAGGTCATATTTGAATCTGCCCATTTTGTAGAGACTACCAGAAAGGTACGGTAGGCCCTGTAGAATTGGATCGATCACTACGACCCAGCCTTGTTTTATTGTTAGAGCTGGGTTGGGAAGGTTGGAATAAGAAGGATGGTATGGAATGTGACAAGAAGCTTTGCGTTCACAGGGAACAAGCTTTTTTGGGTTTTCTAAGCTCCGTCCACTATTACGAAGAAATATATTTGTATGCGCTAATCATTAAAATCTGTCTTTACGGGACCGATCACTGATATCACCATGAGCTTTTTTTTAGCTGTACACCGATAACTAGGGCATTTCTTCCTCATTCGGTGCTTAAAGGCGCCAACCATAACTGGAGAATGTTCTACAGGGCGTCTGAAAGGGTCACTCGGAGATACATTTTAAACGGAATAAGTTCTCTTTGCTGGATTCAAGCCAAGGATCTCAAATTGAAATTGAAAAGCACTCCCCAGTCTATCAAAGGAACTTCAGAAAAGCCTACCCGACGATATCAGAAAATTTTCTCACGGAAACATGGTGCACGGTACGAGCTCAACGAGGTCGTCGAGGAACCATAGACCATTACGACGTCTCTGAAACGCTGGTCAAAAGCGGTTTTGCATAGTCACAGCTACTGTCTCTAGAAGCTATTCACAGTTTAACGATTGAAGAACTTATGTAGCGCTTTAACTTCAATGATTTTTTTTGCCCCCCCCCGTGGGTAGGCTTGACCTCCTTCCCCTAAATGAGGGATTTTTTACGCTACCCACTTCTTCACTTTTTCGTAATCCTCTCGCTTATACACTCTTCCTAGTCAAGCATCATCTTACTGTGCACCTCCAGAATGACCTTCCCATTGAAAATAGTAACTATTGGAAATGTTCGGAAGTTTCGTCTCTGAAGAATCTTTTCCCAACGATCTATCTACTGTTCTCTTTTTGCTAGCTTATAATGCCC